CAACAGAATTCCTACTTGAACACCGTATTATCAGCTTAGAATTATTCAGACAGATCTCAGGAACCAACTTCAGGCAATTTAGCAGACAAATTCAGTGTAGAACGTTGTGATTGATGTAAGTATTTATGATTATCCTAAAAAGTTGTTTCACTCAGTCTGCCTCCTCACATGTTCCCATCAAAGACCTCCATTTCAGGTTAAAATGCAATTGAAGTGCAGCAAGCAATTTCCCCTCCAGCAGTCAGGGGGAATTCTCCATCTCCGGGCGATGCGCAGTTTTGGAGGTGCCGAACTCCCCAGCAGATTGCCTGATTTTCCACTTGATGTGACTTGAGCATCACAGGGCCACTCCGCAATGCGCTCTGTGCAGTGCCTTCCCTTTGGGTCTGAGGAGAGGGAGCATTGTTTCAAAAGAGGGATTTAGTGTTGCTGTTGTTGTTTTTTTTTTTTAAGTATATTAAAGAGCGAAATGTTCCTTTGTTTGTGGGGTGATTAGAAATTGGTGCTGAGGAATGCTGGCAGCGAGCAGCAGGATGTGCATCTGCAGGCTCTGAGACCTCAGATGTGCAATCAGTCACAGTGCTTGCCCGACTGCTGTTTCTTCTTTTAGGCTGTCTGAAGTCGTGTACGTTTGTATGGAGTAACAGCATGCATGGTTTTGTATGGTATAAATAGCCTGCTGTTGGGGTATGCACAGGTACATCATTATTCCTTGGAACTGATAATGGATGAGCTGAGAGAACCTCGCCAGAATTATTTAATTGTTTTTTCCTCCCACATTGTCTCATGTATTCCCAAGGAGAAATGACCTTGTATTGCCAATGGACACCACCCTGAGGATGAGCGCAGTGCCTTGCCTGGATAAGCACATTTGTTTCTCCATCATCAAAAAGATAATGAGATCTTCCCTTGTGCTGCAAGCAGATCTGTTGTGCTAGAAATTCCCAGCAGCATCCCATTGGCATGCGGTCTCCAAGTCCTCTGAAATGAATGGCAGAATGAAGGCTCTTGCCCCGTTAACCCCTCGTTCTTTCTCCCACTCCCTTTGTAACTCTTCTTAACACCCTATGAGAAACCCCCACCCATCGTTTCACCTCGTGCTCCAGATAAACCTAAACGCAGCATCTGACACTGCAGTGCCTTTTTCAGCCATTAAGACGTGGACAAGAGGTAGGACTTGGGAGACAAAACCACATCGCAGGTAATGGACACAGTGAACTTTAGATCTGAGAGGTGTGTGCAATATTAGTTCATTCCGTAGCTGAATGTGAGCGCTACTGATATTTTATCTTTGCAGGAGGGATGAGCTTTTTAAGGACAAGCATTCAAAAATTGCTCTGACATTTGACATGGTCAAGAAAGTAAAAGGCTGATATTCCATTTCTCCATTGTCAGAAAGATAATGAGTTTTGTGACTATTGGTATTATGGGAAAAATATAGCCTAGGTAGCGTAAAATGTGTGAGAGCTGCTATACGTTTTACATAAATTGCACATATTTTGTTCTTTTGATGGCCCCATTCAAACACAGCATGCCCATCCTTTTTAATTTTCTGGTTTGCTGTACAAGTCTGTAGCAAAAGAGTCTTTTCATTTTTCAAAATGAAAAAATGTTTTCTTCAAATTATTTATAGAAAGAGCAGCGCTGTCATCGAGTCTGTCTCATCATATCATTCTTGGATATCAATTCCTAAGCTCGGATGACAAACCATGGCAGCTACTTTTCCAATAGCAGCATCTGGCTTCCTGGCAAACTCGAATTGCAGTTATCTGAAAAGCTACAGAGAGGTTTCTGAGCACATTTTATTTATTAGAAAGCAATTGTGTTGCTTCACTTCCCATGACTAAGCCAAGGAATGTTTAATATATTAAAAGGAATGACAGAAGCACAGCCAAGATGTTGCCCCTCAAGTGGCAAGCGAGTGACAATATTTGACCTTTAAGATGACCATTCCTGCAGCTCTGGAGGAGGCTGGAACTACTGATGCTGACTTAAGATGATCCTTTATAGGGCTAATGAAGAAATTCAGCCTTCTCAAACAAAATTCAAGTTCACCTTTCTCTAAACTCAGCTCCATGAAATGTAATGGTGACTTCTGTCAATCTTTCCGTGCTGGTGGAAGCAGAGTATGGTCCTCCAAGATGAAAGACACCACCTCCTTGAAATATATAGGTAAGAGCAATATAAGGAATATAAGGCAGGTCAATGGTTACATACATACAATGCCTCAGAAGTGAATTCAGCACTTGCTTTGCCACAAACCTTCTCTATGAGCTCAGTGTCATTTGGAAATAGCTCTGAAAGTAGTCTCCCAGTGTGATTCAGTGGAGATCATGTTAACCTGAAACGTCTGAACCAAAGCATACAAAAATATAGCTCCATGAGCAACTTCAGTGTTTCTTTTTTAAATATATCCGTGCCATAACTGCTACCTCCTGCCACGTCCCATGTTCCTGCAAGGTTCTTTGCTGGAGTGGAGATCTTTGTGCCCATAAAGCTCTGCTGAGGCAAATCCCATTTCTTCAGTTCTTCATGTGCAGCATAGTCCAAATGAAATGCTTCAGGATGATTTATTTCCTAATACCAGTATCAGATCAGATAGAAGAGATACAAAGACCTGTAGGAGATGGCAACAACCGATGTCACTGATGTGCTCATAGCTATAGAATATTGCTAGATGCTAAAAGTCATTCTTATATGCATAGGGCTAAAAGTCCCCTTGAAGGACAAGTGGAACAAGATATCTGTTCCAGGTTTTGGTGGCCATTAGTCTGTATTTACATCAAAAGCTCTGTTTAATCATTTTCATTCTGAGAAAGTTCTCCCTGGAGATTTTCTTGAGCCATTTCCAAAGGTTTCTTTTAGTGAAATTCTAGTAATTCTGGTGTTACTTTGCTAGATGATAAATTTGAAAAAAAAAAGAGAGAGCCTGGTGTATTGAAGGCAATGCCTGACATTTAGCAGCAGAAGCAGTCATCCCAAATGGTAACACAGTGCGGCTCCTTCGCTCCTTCTGATCGCAGCAGTGTCTCTCAGGCAAGGCTTTGTTAGTGACAGCTCTCACTGAATTCAGTTCAGTACAAAGTTTCATCTCCAAAATAACTGTTTTTCAGTTCAGAAGTAAAATGATCAGGCACAGGACTTCATTTAAAGCTTTGAACATCAGCATCAAGGAATCCAAACATTTCTGCTTCAAGTTTATTTTTTCTCCTGTGAAAAAAATACATTTCTGGGCTTGGACACACTGTAAAATCAGTAGGGATGAGGGGAGTTAAATTACAGGGAGAAGACGTGGGGCTTTTACTTCTCCTTGTCATGAAGCTCCTGCATCTGTTCTGAGCTTAGAACAATTGGGTTTAATTCTCACTGAGGATGGAGGATGCCACTGCAGCGCATAACACCCTGCCGAGGCTGCTCTACTGCGAAACTCCATGGCATCACTATAAGGCTGTGCCATAAGCAAAGTCTGCGAATCAAAGGTTTCATGATGGGCAACCTTTACTACATACAGAGGGTCAAATAGTTTTCACATTTAAGAAAAGAACACATGCTTTTTTGCTACCGAGGACCATAAGCACTTCTGCCTTCCTTCTGCCACGATTGGAGATTATTCAATGGTGGGATTTAATGAATTCAAAATCCTTAGAAAATCACTAGAGCCAGACATCAATGCAAAATACTCCACCAGCTTTCAGTAGTGGAATATAATATTAGCTCTCCCACAATCTACTTCATGCATTTCAAAAGAATAGAGAACATTTTTAAACTAAAGAAGATAGCTTGGGCAGAAAATGATTGCCTGTCTTGGGTGCTTCTCTGTAACCCTTTAGGAGCCCAAGGATTCTCACAGGGCGATAGGAGCAGCAGTTTTCTTTGCAAAAAAAAAAAAAATGCTGGAGGGGAGAGGAGCAAGATTTTGTTAATGAGTTCTGTTAACGTGCTGTTATCTCACACAACCAATAGGGCTTTATGAGGTGGAAAGCCCTGCAGCTGCGTACCCTTTTCTGCTGGCTGAGGATGCTCAGAGCCCAGTGGACCAGATGCCCCATCCTGCTCCTGTTGCACTTCTGAGTGGGAGATTTGGGGCTATTTCTGCCTCGAGCAGCAGTGTGGCCATGGCTACAGCTCACCCAGCCCTCCTCTGCTCCTCTCTGGGAGAGCCAGCCGTGGGCAATACAAATAAATAATATTAATTAAGGCTCAATAGGTTTAAAAAGCTGTGGAAATGGCTTCTCTCCTGCTGTTTCGGTATCTCATTTTCCCTTCCTGGCCAAAGCCCCAAAGCACACAGGTACAAACATATATTTTAAATGAGAAATTTGTTGAACCTCATTAAATTTAAATGCTTGATTCAGTTTTTCTGAACGTCGCTTTTCAGCTTACCTGCCTTCATTCTTCCATCCCTAATGGAGATATCAATTCAGGGGGTGATTTTGCAAAGGCACTATTGGACCTATAACCACAATGGGAAAGTAAAGCCTAATTTATATGCTTAAACCTAACACAACTTCGGAGCTCTTCCACGTTTATAGGCTTTGCGTCTGAGCAAGTTTCCAAGGCTCTGTGAAATAAAGACCAGCCTTTAATTTGTGTTTGCTTTCTGCTTTCCCAGCTTTTATGAAAAGGAAGAGCAGCTGAAAGGCATCGCCGCAGCAGAGCCATGCATGCACCTGCACCATCCACGCACTGCTCGGGAGAGAGCTGCATTTCTCGAGGTTTGTAGCTCTCGTCCTCCCACTCCCTGATTCGCATACATCACTCTGTGTGCTGCCACATGCATTAGCTGATCAGAAGGCTCCCATTCATCTGCCTTGTCGCTGGATGGGGTGGGGGCAGGACCGACTTGTCAGCGCAGTGATGGGAGTCAGGGCTGCAAGGAGGGGTAACGCGGTGATAAATTTAGATGTTTCTCCACATGGTTTTCCAAAAGGAAATATTTTCAGGCTCTGGTTCTGTTTTATAAATATATATATATATATTTATTTATTTATTTTCCCGAGCAGGAGACAATCAGCAAGCTATCTATTTGCCTACACCCCCCCTTGTGTCACTAAGAGCAGAGCGAGGCTGAGGGAGGAAAACCATTTGGCTACGCTGCAGCTCCCAACCGCATGGTACCCCGAGGGCTGCGTACCCCTCTCCCTCTCGCATCCCGGTGCGGTGCTTTCCGTGGAAGGAAGGGGCAGTGGGCAATGGGAGTGCCGGGGCTGGGGGCTCGGAGCTGCGCTCCTCGGGTTCTGCCGTTCGCTGAGCCCCGGAGCCCCCCATCCCCAAAGGCTGCTTGACCCCCGCGGAGCCGCGACTTCAGCCGTGTTGTCGCACTCCCCCCGCACCATCCCCGCGCGATGCTCCGGCCCTGGGAGGGGCTGCAGCCTCCCACCCCCCGCAGCCACCGGGCGGGCGGCACCGCGGGTCCGGGCGGCTCCTGCCCTCCCCGGGGCGGGGCGGGGCGGTGCGCGGCCGTGCGGCGGAGCTCAGCCCCGTGGCGACGGGAGGGCGGCTCCCCCCATCCTCATCCCCATCCCCATCGCAGCCGCCTCCGCCCCCCGCCCCGTGACTCGGCTCTGCCTCCCGCGGGCGGCGGCGGCTGCCGGGCGGTGTCGTGCGGCCCCGTGCGGGGACTATGAAGCACCATGGTGTGGTGTGACCGTGGCGTCCAGATGCTGCTGACCACGGTGGGAGCTTTCGCCGCTTTCAGCCTCATGGCCATCGCCATCGGTACCGACTACTGGCTGTACTCCAGCGCGCACATCTGCAACGGCACCAACATCACGGCGGACGAAGCGCAGGGACCGCCGAGGAAAGCGAGGGGCGACCTTACGCATTCGGGGCTCTGGAGGATCTGCTGCCTCGAAGGTACCGGGGGGCCGCGCCGTGACCGTGGGGGGAAGCAACTTCCCGGGGGCAGCGGCTGTGCCCGGAGCCCACGGGCAGAGCTCCGCCGGAGCCGCGCCGCTGTCTCGGACACGGCCGAGGAGGAGGATGGCGTTACCGTGGCAACCGGCATCTCCGAGATTGCCATGGGAACGGGCGGCGGGATGCGGAGCTCGGCCCGGGGGAGCTGTGCCTTTGGGGCAGCCCCCCCCATTGCATCCCGTACCCATGGGTTGCAGGGATCTGGGAGGGCTGCACGCAGTTTGGGGGCTTTGGATGCTTCTGAGCTCTACAGGCTTCAAGGCTGGGGACTGGCCAGGTGCTGGCCTCAGGAGTCTGAGGGTTCAGCTGCAGCTCTTTGGTAGGACAGTGGGAACCCAAGTTCCTCTGCATACCCTCAGAGACACTGGGAACCCACTATAGGATGTTGCTGCTGTTTTAGTGCTTCAGCATGGGTTTGGGATGACTTAGTCCAGCCTAAGGGTCAGGCACAGAACAACATTAAGAAACAGAAGGATTTGTGGCATATGGCTGCAGTGGGCAGAGGCACACCCCGCTCCCTACAGAGCTCAAACACGTGGCTCCATCCCTGAAAAGGGAGTTGTAGAGAAGATACTGCGGGTAACTGCTGGGACAAAGAAGCACATGGGTGTGTGGAAGAATTGGCATAGCTGACAGCAAAGCCCAGATGTGAGCCAACATCTGCCGAGTGAGGACGCAGAGCTGTAACTGTGGGACATCGGAGCATCCATAGCACTGGGTGTGGGCAGCAGACCACCACCAGCCCCAGTCCAGCTGTGCTGAATGAAGGCAGCACATGCTGCAGGCATTCACAGAGCTGCTTTGGGGTTCATGGGGGTGGAGGATGCCTGGGTCTGTCTTGCCACAATAATGCACTTGGCATATCGATCCCAGTGCACATCATTCAATCAGCGCAACTTAGCACATGTGAACTTTACAGACCTGGGATCCTGCTTTATTCTAAGTGACAGCCAGCCAGTCTGGCTGTATTCTGAGGTTTTTCCTTAGAAAAAAAGCTGTGGAACTGCAGGAACACCTCATTGCCACGTCTCTTGTAATCTCCTTGTTCTAACCATCCGCGGCTACGGCGTAACGAACGTTTTTCACTTCAACTATCACATTTACTACCTCGGGATAATGTAAAATGGCTGTAGGATGCATAAATATTTTTAGACCAAAAAAGGAGAAAGAGTTACAGAAATGTGAAGTTTAGCTGGTGACAGTAAAGCTTGGCTTTGGAGCTCGTAAAGAAATGTAACTCTTAGCATGGGCTTTTCTGACACCTGGGAGATGTGGGTTTGCTTCTGAGCACACCTGTGTTTGCCTGGGCAATTCTGAGCACCCTCCACCTGCCCCAAAACTGGTGGTCTTTGCTGAGTTGTTGATGTGCCCCAGGCTCTGTTTGTCAAGGCAAATAAGCATGTTGGAATTGTGCTTTGCTGGGCTGGGCCTGTCTTCTGCCTGTCTTCTGACTTTACCGAAGTCGCGGTTTCAGCGTGGTCCTCAAGGAATCTCATTCATAGGAACAAAGTGCAGCTTTGGCTGAGGGCAGTGGGATTTTTGCCTGGATTTCCACTGGGCTTAAGTTAGAACTCTGTAAAATAAGAAGTTGGTGAGGTTGTGAGGCAGGGGCAGTGCTGCACGCAATGCGATGCTCTGAGCCCTGCGCTCTCTGCATGCGCCAGGCAATGCTTTTACCTGCTGAGCACGTTTTGTTCGCGAGAGAATTTGTGGAAAGATCACACTGAGCAGCTCTGGACCTTAAACCCTCATCATTTCAGGTGACAAAAGTGTTTCATGTGACCCCTCCACCCAACAGCAATTGAGCGTTTTGGTTTTTTTTCTTTTCCGAAATTGAAGTGCTCTTAATCAAATGACAAAGTTGTCAAATATGTGCTCAGAATGAATAATCTAAAAGAAAAAGAAAAAGAAAAAAAATCATCTGCTCACAAATATGAGAAGCAGGGGTTGCATTCTTTCTCACACTTTCTGTATCATCTCTCTCTGTAAGAAACAATACGTAGATGCATGAAGATGTTTATGTTCTGGACTAAGCTGTGGGACTTTGATTTCGAGATGGAAAGGTTCCTTTGTTTTACAAGATAAATTAACCATTTCTGGAGGCAGATTGAAGAAAACACCCCCGGGTTGTTTCAGAACGTCACTCATCCTGAGTGGATGGGTCTTTTAGTAAAATCAATGTAATAATTACAGCTCCGAGGAGGTACACAGCAAGAAAATCATTTCAGTTATAGATTTTTACATATGATTAAATGGTCTGTCTTCAAACCTATTTTTAGGACAATCTTTCCGTGTTTTGGGATAATAATTATAAAAGCCTATTTAATTTATTGTAATGGTCTTAAGCACCGTTTCGCCCATCTCAAAAAAAAGATGTATTTCAGACATAAATGTGCACAAGCAGGAAGCATCTTGACCAGCCTCCTCTATTGCTATTGATGTGAATAAAGTGTTACACAGAGTAAATTTCAGGTCAGTTGAAATTTTCCATCAAAATGTTTCTGAACTCCATCTATAAAACAATCTGCACTCTGTATGTGAGCTGTCACCTGCTCGGGGTCCCAAACTCCAGGATTTCAAACAGAACTAATGGAGCAGCACGGACAAAGCAGAGCCTTCCAAGCAAACCAGTGGGTGTTCCTCAACAGTTTCCTGCTCTTCTTCTTTGGGATAGCACTTTACAAGAAATTATCATCATAGTGGTGACTGAAGGGATACAGTTTAGGGCTCCAGCATGCTGTCCTTGTTTGGAGCTGCAGCTGCCCTTCATGTTTTAGTACTCATAGCGGGTACTACTAGGGAGCTTAGTCACTCAAGAAGCATCACCAGCATACACCAGTCCAATTCCCACCTGTACAATCCCAATTCTGTTCTTTTAGTGTGTTTATCAGAGGTGGAAGTAGGAGGCTCATTGAGTGGTCTTGAAGCAATAGCAGTATTCTGCATGGATTGAAGACTTGCAGCTAAGGTAATTGTGTAAGTAGGAAACTGTTTACAGTAGTTCTTGGTACAAATATGGATACAGCAGGATGAGGTGCCATTCGATCAAGACTTTGCAGTAAAATGAGCAAAGGGCTCTCTGGCAAAACTGGTTTTTGGTTTGCTGGTACCAAGACAAATGTACATTAACTTCAGTTTTGATGGCTAAAGACAAATCTTTACTGGAGAGAGAAGCTTCTGATGAAGTCCTCATGTGTCGGTCTTGACTTACCTGAAGTCTGCATCCCAGCCTGGGAATAATAATAATAAGAGCAAATCAGCCCCATTTCACATGGCTGAATAATCCCTTTGTGGCCAAGCTGACTTGAAGGATTTCACTTCTATAATTTTCCAGCAGCCCCTATTCCCATGGTAAATGCCCAGTGCTGCTATGTAAGCCCCACACAGCCTTACTCACAGGAGGATCTGCTATTAAAGTATTTGCTTAGGAAAAAAAAAAAAAAAAAAGATTTTAAAGCACTGCTTTATCCACTGAAACTGCTTATCTTCATGAACAATCATGCTGAAGTTAATAGGACTGCTCAAACTGGGAGCTCTGCAGGCCCCATGACATCTAGATACGAAATCAAGTAATGTACTTGTAATTTAAATTTATTCAAAGAGTATTTTATTAAACACTTCAGAATATGAATGGCTTTGAATCCATTGTGTCTACTGCATTCAGTATTCCCTGTTTGCCATTTATTTTTAAGTGGTGCAGTTGGCCATTTAGTTCACGTGGAACCATTTGTCTGGGTAGCTGAAGTGTTTGCTATCAGGAGGAAGGATTGGGCAAATCAGTGTAACTTGAAAACTTGCACAGATGCCCATTTGCACAATTATTTGCGAGTCGTCTGGCTTGGATGAAGTCTCACATACATGGTGGCACGTGCATGCTGAATGCACAAACAAATGCTTTTACAGATGTTTGAGGCAAGCAAGGAAAGGAAGGCTGCCGTCCATCCGTACTGCTGCAAAGTAATGGTTCATCCAAAGAGAATGAACGTTCTTTAGTATTCTCAAAGCAATGAGAGGAAGTGTTAACCTCACCACGACTTGTAATGATGCAAGCCTTGTATTCAAATGTTATATCCAAAGCTGTGTTTGTGTAAGAGCAAGTTCTTTATCAGCGTAGTATCAGGCAAGACCTGCTTTGAAGATTAAATCCACACAGACAAGGATGTGTTGGACCTAGGTGAACTATTATCTAGAAGTCTTTCAAAACCAGCTGAAACACATTAGAGAAGGGTTTTTCTGAGCTTCAGCCCATGATTTCATTCTTTCCTTCCATACATTCTGCTCACACCATCTCGTTTCCTTGGTAAAACATGTGCTGGGGAAGAGCTCATGCTGCACTGATTGTTTTTAAATGCAATCTTCAGAGCTCCACCGACTTCTTTTCAGCAGTGTTTGAAGCAGTGGGGTTTTGTCAGAAAGTGATTGAGTGATTCCTGACAGCCTTGTTAGGTTAATTTCTTTCTGTTGTGTTCCATTTGCTGGAGAGAGAGCTTCAGAGTTTGGAGCAATCTTTAGAGAAGCAGAGCTCAGTCTTTTTAAAATACGGTCTGTAGTAAAATGTACTTTAAAATACTGAGATTTTTTGCTGGAGGAACTGTCAGCAGAAGCTGGGCTGAGGGATTAGCTATTCTGTTAAAGAAATAAAATGCAGACCTCCTAAATACACCTACATTAGTAACCGAAGTTCTCAAATGACTGTACTGAAATAACAAAACAGCCACTCTTCCTGAGACACTATATGAAACAGAGATCTGAAGCTAATTGACTGAATATATGTCACTTTAATGAATTAATTTGCTTTCTTGAACATGATCTACTATATAGCCGATAGGGAGCTATCAGGCTACACGAGGGCTTTGGTTTTTCTCTGTGGCTCTCAGCATGCCAGCTAACCCAACGCAAAACTTGGAACCCAAAGACTTTCTGTGCATTAGCGATACTCC